AAATACAAATCCAAATGAATAGTCTTTGAGATGTACAAACAAAAAGTATGGACGACTAACCTTTGTGATGAACAGGAATAATTAAGCGTGGAAAGGAATTTTATGGATTAGGAGTGAAGCAATTTTTTGCTTGGGCTTAGTTGGTTTTTACCAATTGTGTAAAAGCAAGTTTATTTGCTTATATTGTTAGAAGCATTTTATTTGCTTATTCATTATTGTAGCAAATTTATTTAATTATTTATTTTTTACATTGCTTGTAATTTGGTTAGCAATTTTTAAATTGCTTGTAAGTTTGGAACTTGGCTTGATTTTCTGTAATAGAAACCAAAGTGTTTAGCTTTGGCTAAAAAGTATTTCTTATTTGTTTAGAAATGATAACTAAGACGGATTTGGTTTCAAACTTTTGGGGTTTGAGGAAGTCTTTGGGTTTAATCATTTTATTCTCAAAGTGTTGGAAAATCAAGTTTGGAGAAAGTCTTTGATTATAATCTAATTATTTCCAAAGTGTTGTGGTTTTGAGAAAATAAATCAAATTTTAGCATTAGCTAAAATATTTCTGATTTTATTTAGAAATAATGGGTTTAGTTCCCGGAGTACCGGTTAACTTTTATGAATAATGTAATTCTGATAACAATTTTTAATTGCTCATTGTAAACGTGGTTTGTTTTAACCTAATTTATCCCCTGAAAAACTTAATTCTAAATTTGTTTCTCATGGATTAGGAGTCAACATGCTTTTGAAAGTTTTGTCTAAGGTTAACTGAGTCTTAAGTGGGACCGGTGTGACCCCTCTAATCTTCCTGGAAACTTTCCTAACCATGTTCGATTCTAGGGTAAGTGGTGAGATCAATTTTGAATTAAATTTCAGACTTTGAGGTTTTCTAGTATTAAGTTTAATTTCTGGAAACACAAACAGTGAAATTCTGTTGTGATTTTTCAGAAATGACTTCAAAAGGTGACAACAGAAATGTTGTTCCACCTGAAAACCTTAAAACCTTGTGAGGTTCTTAGAGGAAGATCTAGAGAGATCAAATGTGATTAAAGGAAATCATAAGATTGCATCTCTGAATTTATCATAGGCAATTAGTATGTTATCTTTGTGTCAATTATAGCATGTATGATTGCTATGTGACTTTGCTTGAAAGTAAAGATGAGACAATCCGTTAGGGTGAGTGAATGTATTTTTTGAATTTTTATAATTGTAAATGTATTCTTAAATTTGTGGTTCCTAGTGAGTACAAGATCACTGGTCACAGAGATAGAAAATTGGTGGGTCTTAGGAGGTGTTAGACCACTGGCTACACAGTTATGAGATTGTGGTTCCTAGTGGTAAATAGATTACTGGTCATATGTTAAGACATGATGGTTCCTAGCAGTAAAAGAGTCTACTGATCATATGTCAAGATGATGATTCCTAATAATGAAATGGTCTACTAATCCTATGTCAAAGACTTTGTGATTCCTAGTAGTGGAGTGACTACTGACCACAAGTCAAAACACTGTGATTCATAGTAGTGGAAAGTCTACTGACCACATGATGAGAAATGAATGATTCCTAGTGATAAGACTAATGGCCATGTTATGAAGTTCCGAATAGTAGACTATTGATTACTAAGTTTGTGATTCCAAATAGTAAGGCTATTTGTTATGACCCAATCCCAGGGGCTTAGGGTTGGAATCGCAATTTACTAAATAATTTCTAACCGCAACAAATTAAGTGACGCAAGCGGAGGCAAAATGGAAGGAAGAAAATAAATAAACATAAAATTAACTTCATTTGACTATTTTGATAAAATAAAGTACATCTATAGGGCTTTTATTTATTTATTTTTATTCAGCGACCGACCCTCAATAAAAAACAAAAGGAAGAAAATGAAAGGAAAACAAAATAACAGATTAACATCAAATTCTTGTACGGGTTCCACTACATGAGGTTATGGGTCTTCCCTGTATCTTGTCACCTAAAAGGGTAATAGCTATAAACACACAGCAGAGTGAGAAATATTATGCCAAGAGTATAAGAAACACAAAATAACCATAGATAGTTAGTTAAGCTAAAACATTTACATAACTTAATTTCAATAAACAAATTATTTAAAGTGGCAGAAACTGAAATACAGAAATTATGTAAATAAATAACCATAACCACGGTACAGAACAGAGGTCAATGGATCCATGACAAACAGAGGACCACAAGGTGGCCAAACAGAGGCCAATGGTTATTTAAGTCCCCCAAGGCGTGGGACTTCCGTGGTGGTACTTACAAAACATAATTGTTTATTAAACCATTGTCAAATAATTTCTAAAAGTTAAACAAACATATCTATAGGTTTCAATTTAAGCAAGTAGAGTTCAGAAAATAATTAACGTAATCAAAATATTAATATAATTTATAAAACATAGATTGCGTAAAACAATTTATGGTAACCCAAAACATACATAAAATATATTATGGTGACTCAAGGTATAATATAACTCACCTTAAAATTAATACCTCACTCTTTCTTTCTACTATCAAAACGCTTCTTGCCTTCCAGTATTTTCATTTCCTTTCTTTGCTTGTTTTCCTTCATCGGTTCACAACACCCCTCATCCTTTTATACTACTTGTTGAGCACGGTTTGGGTGACACATAACCCAACCACGTAGCCTTTCTATTAGCTGCCATCATGAAGCTATATAGATTTGAATCTTAAATGGATAAGTATAGATCGTTGCCAAATAGATAAGTTTAGATTATACTTAGGCCAACACTACTAAGGGAATTGCTAAGCCTTAATTTTCCTTTCATTATTATTATTATTATTATTATTATTTTTGGAGTATCGTTAACAATTATCTGCTTTATTCTACATTGCTCTTAATGTAAATGAAATTATACTTTATCGCTTATCATCATAAATTAATTATTTAATTTGACCATTATTATCACTGTTATTGTTATTATTATCATCATTGGTTGTGATATTACTTAAATATCTAGGATGTCACACTATTTGACTTCAGAGTGACATGTTGGACCAAACTTGTTCTAGTGCCTTGAAATCAAATTCGGTTAATGACGGTGTAGGAATATGTTTTTTGTGATATGATTATGAGAGTCTCATAATCATTGTGACACAAGGAATTGTTTAAAGACCTTGTATGAATTTTTAGAAAATGCCAAAAGCCTTGGCATAAATTTTACAAATGTGGGGTTGTCATGCAAAAGGTGGTAATAACTAAACCCAGGAGGGTTAAGATAAGCCTAAAAACCCGTCGACTTTGTATTCAACGATTATTGTAACGCCCTCAAAAAAATACATAAAACCCATCACTAGAGACATGCATTGATATAAAAGAAACCAACCATTTCCATTCATCAGAGTAATTCTTACAACAGCATTACATGTTAACAACAAAAGCAAATGCCCTATGGGCTTACAGCTTTCCAAGTCAACACCTGGTTACACAAAAGAAGAGTACTAACTCTATACAAAATAAGCCCTTGGCTTGATATACATGTAATACAAACAAAATAAACAAAAAAGTCTTCAACTCTCATCATCATCCAAAAGGCAGAGTTTGGTTTTTTGGGGGTGATAGTGGAAAAGTTGACAGATAAGTCACCCTTACTGCCACTCTACAGAACCGTACATGAGATTTTCACCTCATACGGCTCCTCGTTCAATTCTTTCGAAGTCATTGGATCCTTTTCCTCGTTCGAGAATCTCCTCCTTTCTTCCACTCCGTCCCGATAGATGGCAGATCTATTCACTCTATCAATAACCGAGCCGGATCTGGTGTATCATAAGGGATTTGCCTTTTCTATTGATTCCTACGGATTGGATCAAAAAAATTCGAGCGGAGACAAAGCTGTTCCTCGGAAATCCAAGTGGATGTACACTCATTTCTTCGGCAATCAATGGAAGCAAATGCTATCTCTCGAAGCTTGCACTGACGGAAGTGAGATCTATTCTTCGAAAGTCTGAGTGGGAACACACACACTCTACTTCAGCAAGAAAGATCTTTGAAGCTCGCATTGATGGAAGCAAGGGCTATTCTTCGGAAGTCCGAGTGGGAACACACACTCTGCTTCAACAAGAAAGACCCTCGAAGCTTGTACTGGTCAAGAAAGTACCGCCTCGCTCTCCTTTTGGTCATGATACTCTTCATTGCTTCTATAAGTATGTGAGTAAGTATTTTGAAATTCTTCTATAAATTTGTGGATAAGCATTTTTGAAACTTCTGAACTTGAGATAACCCCCACTCTTTTTGAATCTTGATTTGCATAAGAATGTAATCCTGAAATTCATATTTTGGAGCTTGACCTTGTGTTGATCATGACTTTCAAAATTTTGATAAAAATGACGAGGAAAGAATTCCTCTGGTTTTAAAACGTTTGATTGATCGAGAGGAGGAGAGGTTTGTAAAACCCCTGGTTGATGAAATCATTTCAATTGATGTGGGTACTCAGAAGGATTCGTGTCTAGTCCAGATCGGGTCCACGTTGTCTTCGGAGGAACGCGAGCGCTTAGTCGCTTTACTAAAAGATTTCAAAGACGTTTTCGCGTGGTCCTACGAAGACATGCCTGGAATCGGAAAGAACTGAGAATGATCAGAAGGCCAAAAAAGCCAAGGTCTTGCGGGGACTGATTGTGTTGCGAATACGGGAGTGCTTACAAACATCTTTTAAGTGTGATTAATAACATTCACTACTAAAAAAAATACTTTTTGCGACCGTCACATGCCGTCGCAAATAATAAAAATACAGTCGCAAAAGACTTTTTGCGACAGCTATTTTGCCGTCGCAAAAAAAAATAAAAAAATAAAAAAACCACTTTTAGCGACCATTGTTTTACTGTCGCAAATAATTATTTATTAAAAAAAATCATGTATGGGTTTGCTACAACAAAAAAATCAATTACAGGCACCAAACAATTTTTTGTAAATGAAAAATAACAAAATTAACAAATTAATTAAATTTATCATAGACATTATCCATTAATCATCTTTAAATACACTGTACTAAAAAATTCAAGTCTTCAAAAAAAAAAGAAAAAAGAAAAAGAAGAAGAAGAAGAAGAAGAAGAGCAACATAATCTTTGGCTCCCAACATCAACCGCTTGATCATATCAACTATTCCCTCAACAAAATCTGCAAAAACATATATCAAACTTGATTTGAAAATTTAATGCGCTTAAATGTGTTAGTTTAGCTTAAAATAATCAAAATAAAACTATGTCAATGACCTATCTCTATGGCAGATTAGTGATTTGCAACAAGAGTTTCAATTACCTTAAGAGCAACTTCAAGCTTAACTATGGGATCACTTAATTATGGCGTTCGGAATTATATAATAGTATTGTGGCGAGAGATTTCCCTAAGAACTCCACCATCACCACCACCTACAACCAAAACCTGCATCAAGTAATTCAATTAAATTTAGCACAAATACCTGACAAACAGAATAATTATAGATTGCATAAACATGAAGAGCAGAAGATAGCTAGCTCTACCAACAATGTTTTCCTCAATCATTGGCAACTTAAATTACAAGTTCTCTTTCTACTTGTAAATATGATGAATTGAGGCTGAGAGTACATAGAAATATTATTTGTTCACAATTTAACAATGAGACAAAAACAAGGTGAGTCTTATATTCAATTCTAGAATTAAATTTGTCATACAATGCCTTCAATCTAAATTGCCATTCTCGATAAATTCATAGACTAGAAAAAGAGAGCCCTCTACGCAATACCCAATCAAACGCACCTACATTAGATGCCAATGTAAGTTACAATGTCTATATAAATACATATATGTATATATACTTAACATCGTCCTTTATATTTCAAAGATCAATCAGTTAGAAGATAAGAAAAGTCGCTTAATGATATCACAATCAAAATTAGAAGACAATTGGACCCTCAAGTTTCCATCAACAACAAAATTGTACTGTAACAACCAACCTACTGAAATTCCATATGATAATACACTTTAAATATTCATCTCCTACCGTAGAAGACTAAACCTGTGAATACCTCAACCACAGAGACTTTTAAACAATCAAAAAAAAATCATGATAAATTAAATGGCGCAATGTAAATATATTGGTCATCAAATTACCATGAAATGATAAATTCTGGAGGATTAAAAATAAAAAGGATTCCCCAAAATGGAAGTAAATATCAATCAATTCCAATTACTCCAGGTTCTAAATGTCAGTGAAGTCCATATCAAATCAACAGAAGTGCATGTGCATATATTTACTAACAAGATAACCACATCTCAGATTTAAGCATGATGGTGTGTCTGTAAAAATCTGTGGTACACGCACAAAATATCAAATCATGCAATGACAATAGAGAACAGACTAACCCAACCAAGACAATTAAACAATATCTTTCACACTGGTGAAGTGAAACTTAAAACTAGTAAATTGCCAAAAAGTCGCAACATCAGCAATGCACAAGAAGCCAATAGAAAGAGGGCACAACATTCGCAAAGTCTAGTTTTGATAATGTAAAAATGAAGAGAGCAATTTCTGCATTTCGCTGTTTCAGTAGGGAACAACTGTATACTTGAGGTTGGAATCCAATGTAATGATTAATGACCCAATTGTCGCAATGCACATTCATAGTCATCCACCAGTCTCTGTTAACTTCTCGAGAATAGTATAAAAGTGTGTTTAAGAAGATGTTGCATCTACATGTGCACACAAAAACATGCGGGTGATGTGGCTGTATTTAATAAGCCACTGATTACATTTTTAAGGGGATATGCATTGACTGTGTTCATAACCAACTAATATAGTCTGAATTTCCAAAATCATCCCTCTATTTTACTCTATTAAATGCATTCATACTCAATAGAAGGCCAGCAATTCTGCTTTGTAGAAGAAAGTGTTGGGCAACTGAGATGAGAATGCTTTGGATAGATTTGTAGTAAAACTAAAAAAGATAGATTAGAAATGAATATATTCATGAAATGGTAGGAATAGAGAGAGAACTACTTAACATGGAAGACTTGAGCTGACATCTGATGCATACTCACCACAATCAAAGAAAATATAAATTTATTTAATTTAACAGAACATACAAACTTTGATAGAGCTAAATGACCACACAAAAAAAAAAATTATGTAGCCACCCCCACTTGATTGAGACACAAGGTTTAATTTGTTTCGGTTTGGTAAATGCATTCATACTCATCCAAAAATAATGATATTGTAAAATGCAAAATAAAATACCTTTCTTTTAAAAATGGACAACAATATTGGAATATGCCAAAAGGCATTAGTGGACAAAAAGAATGGAAAGTGGGGAAGATAAACAGGCATGAAAGTAGCTATTTTGGAGGTAGATTGTCCTTCTTTGTGCTTTAACAAGAAAAATGTTTTGCCCACCCATACAGTCAATTTGGCAGGGCATCTAATTTATGGCATCTTATATTATAAAGGAAAGCACACTTGGATATTACAGGGTTTTATGAACTAGAGGCCTCATGAATTAGTTAGGTTTAATATTAAAAAAGGAAAAAATAAAAATAGAAGGAGCAAGAACCACCAAACAAACAGAACATTTTTCAATGAAAAATATCCTCATCTGTTTGTATGTGAGCATGGAACAAAGAATTTGGACATCCCGGTTCTTTGGAGTTAGGCCAGCACGCACAACAATGTCTGAAATGTATTTGAAGTCAATTATTGCTTAAAAGCCCGTCACCAAACATGAAGAGGTTACGTCTTTGGTCACACAAACTTATGTATCTATTCACCATGAAGAGGATACCATATCAATTTTTCATTTTTACCTGTATGTAAGATAGAACGGTCTGTAATTAATCCAACTTATAGATTGGCTTTACGTATAAATAATTTATGTGCTTAATATTTTATTGGTCTAAATTTATTTATTTATTTATTTTTTTTTTTAAGAAGCTTACAACAAACCTACCAAAGAGTTACATAATAGGACAGTAGCTAATAAATGCAACAAAAAGCCCAACAACAAAGACAGCAAAGAACCTCATAAAAGGGAGAAATTATCAAAATTTCCCTTTCACATTGATTGATTGCAGGAAAGTGAAATTTTCTTGGAAGAGAGTTTTATATCAGATCCTTCTGTCATATTTATCAAGACATTTCTAAACAAACACAACTCTCATACTCTCTCACCTGTGCATCTAATTTGGCCCTCTTTGCCCTTGCTTTTACAAAATTGTTCGTAAAACTCAAAAAATTTTGAAGTCAATTTACTATTTCTTTTTAATAGTTTTGGAAAATAAGAAACTAACCAAATTTTCAATCTTATTTTCTGTATGTGTAACCCTGAAAAAAAAAATAAACAAAAAAAAAAAGGAACTACTTTTTAATTCCAAAGGCAGCATTGACAAAAAAGAAATCTGAGAGAAACTTGCAAGTACTTAAAAAGTAGCTCAAAAACTTACGCTGAAACTTCGAATCTGCTGAATTTCAAACTCCAGAGGTGTTTATTACAGTAATTTATTTATCTTCAAGCAACACATACCATAAGACCAATGACCTTGCTATCTAAATCTACACATAAAAAGAATATTCCCAAACAAATGATGCACCACCTAGCCTACAAAACGACAGACACGAAAATCATCCCCACAAACTAGCTAAACATCAACATTCTCCAGTGACTCCAGTCTGAAATTACAGTTTGAAATTACACTAATTTGAATCAAAGACAACTTGATAATCAAACTAATACTGGTATTATCCCAAGAAAGACTCAGATTAAAAAATAAACCAAAAAGAAAAAGAAAAAACCTAATCTGACATATACCCAAGCATGCAAGTTTAGATCTATTATACAGAGCATAGAAAAGTCACAGAAGAATGCAAGTTTAGATCCACGCAACGATGAACTAAATCGAACTAAATAAAAGAAATAAATTAATTAATTAATTAAACTGAGAACAAGATTGAAACACCAAACACCAACAAGATTAATTAATTAAACTGAGAACAGAAAATCTGAAGATTAATTAAACACCAACAAGATTAATAAATTAATTAGCTTTTCTCACCTGCAACACCAAGAAGATTGAAAATCTGAAGAAGAAGAAGAGCTTTTGGAGAGAGCTTGCTGTACGAGATTGGAAATCTGAAAAAGAAGAAGAGCTTCTCTTGCCTCTCCCTTTTGCTGCTGTTACTTTGATGAGTTAGGGCTAGGGCAACATGGGTAAAAAAGTAATCACACTCCTTAATACCAACAGACTAGCTTTGAATACCAACATCAGGGGCCAACAAATTAGCCAATAAATTGAGAAAACAAATCAATATTCAGGAATTCTTTTGATAAAAAAAGAAGTCTGGATTCTCATGGGATGTTAAAGAACCGACTCATCCATGGCCATTTCCACAGGCTTGGGATTCGTCCAAAAGGTATATTTTATTATATATATATATATCAAACCTTCTTTGTATAAACATAGATTTGTAACCATTAATTTCATTTTCATGAAGGTTCGATTAGGCTCTGTTGCAGCATTTGAAACAGTTGATGAACCAGAGTCTCAATGTTGACACCCAAACAAACCCAACACTCAAATAGATCCAACAACCCATAACATTAATCCATCGATCAAAATTCTACAAACCCATAATCGAAATTGCAATTAAAAACACCAAATAATCGAACAAATATGGAGTGAGTGTGTGTGTGTGTGTGAGAGAGAGAGAGAGAAGGGTAGAATCCGAACATACCTCAAGAATCGAACTGATACTTTTTTTGATCGAAGAGAAGAGAACGAAACCCTTCCATCGTCGCCGCCGCCCAAGCAGTCTCGCAGCCGAAGAGAGAGCACTGTTTCTAGGTTGAAATCTCGCCGCTGCCGAAGGGGTCAGAATCATAGGCAAACTGATCGTCTGAATCTTACTCGGCCTCTCAAACTTCATCTCCATATATAAACCCTTCAACAGTCGATCGATCGATAGAGAGGGAGGGGTAAGAAGAGACTAGGGTTTTTTGGTTTTGGGCGGGCGGCGAGGAGCAGAGCGGAAAAAAAAAGAGGGGGGGTGGAATCAAAATATTTAAAAAAAAATAAAAATTTAAACAATAAAATAACACTGCTTAATTTATTTATTTTTTTGCGATATGGGTTGTCGTCGCAAAAAAAAAAAATTATTTTTTGTTATTGTAAAATTTTTAAAAAAAATTATTTTATTTTGGTTACTAATTAAGCTTGAAAATTTATTTGTTTCATTTTTTTTAATAAAAAAAAAGACAGACAGAGAAGAGTGATGAGTGAGAGAGAGAAAGAGAAGAGAGACAGAGATAGAGACAGAGAGACAGGAAGATGAAAAAATTGATGAAAAGAGAAATGTAATATCAAAAGAGTAAGACGACGTCGTTTTTTTCAATTTTTTTTTTTATGATAGAAAAATACCATTGCATTTATTTAAACCATTTTGTAACTATATATATGAAGTCTCGGTAGTCGTAGTGGTGAAGTGGCGACCGTGTTAGTAGTGGTGGTAGTGAAATGGCGTTTGCAGTAGTAGTGAAAGTGGTAGAGAAGATAGGTGGTGAGAGAGAGATAAGTGGGAGACAGATAGAGGAGAGAGAGAGAGTGGTGAGCGAGAGAGAGACAAAGTGGTGCTAAAAGTGTATTTTCTTGTAGTGGATTGATAAATTGAGAGGAAGCTCAGTAAATAGAGAAGACGGAAGGGAAATAGTGAGCAACGCGAAACAATAGGGGAGAGAGAGAGAGAGAGAGAGAGAGAGAGAGAGAGAGAGACAGGCAGAGAGAGAAGAGTGATGAGTGAGAGAGAGAAAGAAAAAAAAGAAAGAAAGATGAAAAATATGTGAAAATATATATAGAGAGAGAGAGAGAGAAAGAGCGAAAAGAGATAAACGAGAGAGAGACAGAAAGAGATGAACGAGAGAGCGAGAGAGAAAAGAGACAGAGAGAGAAGATAGATGAAAGAGATAGAGAGAAGAGAGATGGGACGAGAGATACAGAGAAAAACAGAGAGGCAGACAGACAAAGAAAAGTGATGAGTGAGAGAGAGAAAGAGAAGAGAGACAGAGACACAGACAGAATGAGAGAGACAGGCAGACAAAGAAGAGTGATGAGTGAGAGAGAGAGAAGAGAGACAGAGACACATAGAGAAAAGCAGAGACAGACAGAGGAGATGGAGTGCCAGTGGTGGAGGAGAGGTAATGGTAGTAGTAGTGGTAGTAGTGGTAGTGGTGGTAGGGGAGTGGTGGCGATGATGGTAGTAATGGTAATCGTAGAGGTGGAGTGGCAACAGTGGTAGTAGTGGTGGTAGTGGAATGGCATTTGCAATAGTGGTAAATGTGGTAGAGGAGATGGGTGGTGAGAGGGAGAGATGAGTGAGAGACAGATAGAGAAGAAAGATAGAGAGATAGAGACAAAGTGATGAGCGAGAAAGAGACAAAGTGGTCGTTAAAAGTGCATTTTCTTGTAGTGGATCGATAAGAAAAATGCCCTAGACCCCCAGTGGGAGTGACCCCCACCACCCCCACTGTTTTCTGATTGGTTCAAAAAATTTTATTTATTTATTTATTTTCACTCTTGCTCTTACAGCCCCCCACGTGGAGGTGGGGGTGCTGGGGGTCACCGCCCACTGGGGGTCCCCAACATGGTTGGATCGATAAATCGACAGGGAGCTCAATAAATAGAGAAAAGATGAGGGAGAGAGTGAGCAAGACGAACACAGTGAGGGAGAGAGAGACAGACAGACAAACAAACAGACAGGTAGACAGAGAAAGAGAAGAGTGATGAGTGAGAGACAGAGAGAGAAAGAGAAAGATAGACAAAGAGAGAAAAAGATAGAGAGAGAGTGAGACAGAAAAAGAGAGAGAAACAAGAGATGAACAAGAGATAAACAAAAAAAGAGAGAAAAAAAGCGAAAAGAGATTAACGAGAGAGAGACATAGAAAAGAGAGAGAGAGAGAGAGAGAAGAGAGAAAAACGAGAGAGACAGAGAGATAGAGAGAGAGACAAAAAAAGAGAAACAAAAGATGCTCGAGAGATAGGCAAAGAGAGAGAGAGAGAGAGAGAGAGAATAGCAAAAAGAGATAAACGAGAGAGAGACAGAGAAAGAAGAGAGATGAGCGAGAGACACAGAGAGAAAGAGAGACAGATAGACAGAGAAGAGTGATGAGTGAGAGACAGAAAGAGAAGAGAGATAGAGACAGAGACATAAAGAAAGAGAGACAGACAGAGAAGAGTGATGCGTGAGAGAGAGAAAGAGAAGAGAGACAGAGACACAGAGAGAAAGAGAGAGACAGACAGACAAACAGACAGAGAAGAGTGATGAGTGAGAGAGAGAAAGAGAAGAGAGACAGAGAGACAGGAAGATGAAAAAATTGATGAAACGAAAAATGTTATATCAAAAAAGTAAGACGATGTCGGTTTTTTCAATTTTTTTTTTTTATGATAGAAAAATACCATTGCATTTATTTAAACCATTTTGTAGCTATATATATGAAGTCTCAAAAAGTCACATTTTTTTGCAACGACAAGTTGTGTCGTCTCAAAAAGGCATATTTTTCGCGACGGCAAGTTATACCGTCTCAAAAAGTCACATTTTTTTTTTTGCGAGACGACAAGTCGTGCCGTCTCAAAAAGTCGTATTTTTTACGACAACAAATTGTGCCGTCTCAAAAGGTCACATTTTTTGCGACAACAAATTGTGCCGTCTCAAAAGGTCACATTTTTTGCGACGGCAAATGTGTCGTCGCAAAAAGTTCCGTCTCATAAGCCCACTTTTCTTGTAGTGTTACTTATAAAGTGTAATTAAAAAGTAGTAGTGTATATATAATCACACTTTAATTAAAAAAACGTGATTAAAAAATAAATAAATAACCACACTTTAATTAGAATGTGTGATTAAAAAATATATATATATAATCACATTTACTTAAAAAGTGTGATTAAAAAGTAGTAGTGTATATACAATCACACTTTAATTAAAAAGGTGTGATTAAAAAATATATAAACAATCACACTTTAATTAGAATGTGTGATTAAAAAATATATATATAATCACACTTACTTAAAAAGTGTGATTAAAAAGTAGTAGTGTATATACAATCACACTTTAATTAAAAAGGTGTGATTAAAAAATATATAAACAATCACACTTTAATTAGAATGTGTGATTAAAAAATATATATATAATCACACTTACTTAAAAAGTGTGATTAAAAAGTAGTAGTGTATATACAATCACACTTTAATTAAAAAGGTGTGATTAAAAAATATATAAACAATCACACTTTAATTAGAATGTGTGATTAAAAAATATATATATAATCACACTTACTTAAAAAGTGTGATTAAAAAGTAGTAGTGTATATACAATCACACTTTAATTAAAAAGGTGTGATTAAAAAATATATAAACAATCACACTTTAATTAGAATGTGTGATTAAAAAATATATATATAATCACACTTACTTAAAAAGTGTGATTAAAAAGTAGTAGTGTATATACAATCACACTTTAATTAAAAAGGTGTGATTAAAAAATATATAAACAATCACACTTTAATTAGAATGTGTGATTAAAAAATATATATATAATCACACTTACTTAAAAAGTGTGATTAAAAAGTAGTAGTGTATATACAATCACACTTTAATTAAAATGTGTGATTAAAAAAATATATAAATAATAA